TCCATGGAAAAATCCGACTGTGACAAATTCACCCACAAAACATTCAAATGTAACTTGTCACTGGTGTTTTAAGGCAGCACCTTTAGTTCCTCCTGCAGAATGTTGGGTCTCTGAGCTCGGTTGGGTTGGCTCGGGTGAGTTGTGGTGGGTGGGGAAGGGGGAGTCGCTGTTCCGACTGTTTCAGGATTGAGTACTGAAATCTTGAGGAAAATCCTTCATATGGAGGGCTTAGAATCACAGAATGGTTTGGGTTGGAAGGGACTTTAAAGACCATCTCATTCCAAACCCCCTGCCATGGGCAGGGACACCTTCTACTAGCCCAGGTTGCTCCAAACCCTATCCAACCTGGCCTTGGACACTGCCAGGGATCCAGGGGAAGCCACAGCTTCTCTGGGAATTTGTATTTAGGACTCTTGTAGGACAGGCTTGAAGGGAAAACCCCAAAAGCACTTGGTGGAATGATGTACAGGTTACATGAGTTCCATAATCTTGGCTGGTTTGGATTGGAAGGGACCTTAAAGCCCATCTCATTCCACCCCCTGCCATGGGCAGGGCCACCTTCCACTGGACCAGGTTGCTCCAAGGTCTCCTAGAAACTCTTCAGGACTTCCCAATGGCCAACCTTGGTCTGATTACAGCTGCAAAAGTCAGTCACTGACCTAAACCTGACCCTGGAGGTGAAAAGCTGCCTTTGCTTCTTCCATCAACTAGTCTGGGAGCAGAGCTGCTGCCAGGGCCTGGAATATCTCCCATGGCAGAGCAGTGTGGGATGTTCCTGCTCTGCCAGACTGCTGTGGATGAAGAAAATAGCTGTGCCTGGGGGGGAACTTGAGCTCCCTGACCCAAACACACAATGTGTCGTTGCTCAGTGGAACATTAGCCATGAACAGACTGGGGGGGAATGTTCTTACCTTTTGTTTTATCGTCACAATAAGCAGAGCCCAGAGATTGATAGTCTTGAGTGATGGAGGCCATTTGACAGAATAACACAAGAATGCACTTGCTTTCATGTAAACCACACCAAAAGGGAAGGGGGATTTTTTATTTGATTTTTTTTTTTTTAAGATTTGATTTTTTTTTTAATCCCCTGAAGGCTTTTTGCCTCCTCCCTGTAGCCCCAGGTCCCTCTGTTTCCAGAGGGCACGTCAGGAGTGTCACCCGGGCTTTGATGTGGTTTCCCTCGAGTGTGGCTCCTCACTGGGCTCCCCACAGATGCCTTGATGTGAAACAGGACGTTAAAAACCCCAAATGTGCCTCCTCTGCAGGTCGTTTTTCATCCTTTTACGTGCGACGTCAAATCTCTTGCGCCGGGAAGGTGTGGGGAACGAGCTGGAGTGGGGGAGAGAGGGGAGTTCCTGGGCTGTTAAACCCCAATTTCTCTGTGGTTGCTTCCTCTGGGCCTCACCCCAGCTCTGCCTTTCTCTCAGGGTGAAACTGAAACCTCGGTGACTTCACCCAAGGCCGCCAAAGTTTAAAGAAAATTCAATATTTCTCACTTTTAGGTCACTTCAAGTTCCAGATTGTTTCCTGCCGGGAATGTGGGGGGGGGGGGCAGGGAAAATGCCCTCCCGGTAATGGAAAAGCAATTACTGGTTCTTCTGGAGCGGAGGTTGGGTTGTTCCAGCGTCACACCTTGGCTGTGGGTCACCCCAACCCCTCAGGACCGTGCCCATCGTAGGACGGAGCGGCGGCTCCGCGAGCTGGGGGTATGGAATGTGACATTCCCGGTGTGCTGGAAGGGAGCAGACATCCACTGGGTCACTTCTGTTGCCCTGTAAGGTAGAAATCCCCGGAAAAATCTCTTCTAATTTGTAACTTTTCCCTCCCCACAGCTTCCTAAAGGTAAAGGTTCCTAAAGGTAAAAATTGCTCCTGTTGGGCGCAGAAGCTTTTGTGCTACTGGGATTATCCTGTGGCTGCTTCCTCTGGATATCTGGGAGTTGGGATGTGTATTTTTGTCCTTTATTTTCATTCAGAGGGTGGGGAGGCCCTGGCACAGGTTGCCCAGAGAAGCTGTGGCTGCCCCTGGATCCCTGGAAGTGTCCAAGGCCAGGTTGGATGGGGCTTGGAGCAACCTGGGCTAGTGGAAGGTATCTCTGCCCGTGACAGGGGGTTGGGACAGGATGATCTTTAAGGTCCCTTCTCAATCCAAACCATTCTGGGATTCTTAGATTTTCCCAGTTGGTCCTTGGACTTTAATTCAGGTCAAAATTCTCTCAATAAACCTCAGTTTTATTCACATTAAAAGTGCAAAATCAAAAGGTGGTGTTTGAATTTCACATGGAGCAACCTGGCCTGGGAAGACACATTTTCTTGACTTTGGGGTTTTCGAAATAACCAGAATTTATGAGCTCTTATTAAGATTTGCTTTGGATCTTATTAACCTTGCCACCTGGTCAGTAGATATTTAGTGTACTGCTGTCCTCCTCTGAGCAGAGATGAAGCTGAAGGAAGACATTCCTTGTTGGAAAAGAGATGGGGGCCAAGATAACGTATTCTTGGAGAAAATATCCATGAGGTTGGACTCGATGATCCTTGTGGGTCCCTTCCAAGTCAGCCTGTTCTGGGGTTCTGTGAGGTCGTCTGGTGACACTAAATTCAGCCTGAGAGTTGCTGAGGGCTTGGGCAGTGGAGCTCAGCTCGTTATCCCAAATTTTCCCTCTCCCATGGCCGCCTCTGCAGCTCCGCCCTGGTTAATGATCCGTTTCGAGCGCGGCGTTTTATCCAAGACTTCTGCGTTTTTCCCACTCTTTGATTTCTTCCCTTTCTAGCAGAAGAAGAAGAAAGATTACATAAATTGGGGATTTTTTAATGAGTGCGCCGGGCTCGCTTCGGGTGGAATTTACAGTGGGCTCAGAGTTACAACCTCGTTGCGCTTCAGTTGGGAAACTTATGTCATAAATGGGTGTATCTGAGGGTGGACTCGAGCCCCGGCTCTTTGTTGTGTGAGCTTCAGAGGGACCAAACGGCTCCCTCCCCTTTTTTGAAGTCCTAATTCCCTTTATAGGGTGTTGCAATGGCTTTCTATAGAGTTGTGCCTCTGAAGTTGGAGGTTTCCAATGTGAAAAACACCCACTTTCCTCCCCCCCCCAATTGCTTCAAGTCCTGACGTCGGTCGCAAACTTTGTAACTTCGGCGGCGTCCACCCAGAGCTTTTCCCGGGGCTTTTTGTTGCAAAAAATCCCCATTGTTGAGACTCATCCCTTCGGAGATCTTTTTAATAAGCCTGGTTGGGAGTCCCCTTGCTCAGCTGGTGCTTGTCTTGTAGGAGCACTTGTAGGGAATGTCGAGGATCCTGCTACTTTCCGACCACTAGAGGTCAAGATTGTGCTGTGGGATAGCTCTGCTAAGGGTTAGCTCCAATTCCTGGTGCAATTCCTGGTGCAGCCACGTCCAGTGTCAGCTTTATATATTGAATTTTGTCATCATTTGCCGTGTTTGTTAATTAAGATGAAACCAGCTGCATGTTCACGTCCCACAGTGGTGGATTTTCAAGGGATAAGACCTCTCGTGCTTGGGTTTTGGTGTCCCTTTTAATCTTTTAATATTCTTGAGATGTAAGAACTACTCAGGTGATCAGGAGGGATTCTAAAGGGAGTTCGAGGCTGTCAGAATAAAACCTGCTCATAAATTATTTTGGGGTCATATTAAGACTTTTTAGGAAATAATTGTGGAGGTTTGCACATTAGATGGACCTTTCTCCTTTCTGCAGCTCAGGTGGCAGAAGTAATTGGGAATTTTGAATAGTTACCATTTGTTTTAGTCCTCCTTTGGTTTCCCTGCGTGGTTGGTGTCGCTGACAACATATCTCCAATATGGTTTGTTGTTTCCCTTCTTCCTTTAAAATCCAGGCTGTGGAACAGGGAATGGTCCCCTTTTGCCACCTCACAGAATTCCAGAACAACCAGAAGCAATCTGGGCTAGTGGAAGGTGTCCCTGCCCAGGGCAGGAGGTTGGAATGAGATGATCTTTCAGGTCCCTTCCAACCCAACCCACTCCCTGATTTCTGTACACCTTTCTTCTGATACATCAAAAATTCCTACAAAAATGTGGGAGGGATCCTCAAAATCTATGGGTATAAACCCCTGTAAATTCCAGGTTTGCAGAGTTTTTGTTTTCTGGTTACACCAGGACATAAACCCACATGTACAGAACCACGACATCCGTTGGCTTGACCTTTTCCCTTTTATTTTGGCCAGGCTTTGGCACTTGTGCCACTCGTGTCCCCGTGCTGATCCCGCTCCTTGTCCTTCCCCTTCGGTTCGAACTTCTTGGTCAACTCTTGAACAATTGGGGCTGAACCGCTTTTCCCGTCAATATTGTGCTGGATAACAATGAGGAAACCAAGTGACTTCACGCAGCAGGTCACACACATTGACCCCCCACCGCCAAAAAACCCCAAACCCCCCAAAAAACCCGGAACATCCCCCCCCTTCCGACTCCGCGTGCGTTGCTCCCGCGATCCCGGGGCTTCTCCCGGCGAGCGGCTTTTTCGCTCAGTACCTTTTACAGCTCGTTCTGTACATCAGCAACTGCAATTAAACTCTCCTGGGGTACCACAAAAATGCTTTCAGGGACCTCTGGGGTCCAGATGTGGAATGTTTTGCGCTGACACGGGTTGAAAAGAGGAACAAATCCAGCGGTTAAGTAGGTCCTTTAATTCAGCCTGTGACAGTCACCACATGGCCCGTGGGCTAATATTCCTGCATCTGGGCTGTAAATAGATCAATATGGCATTTGGATTTGTGAAGAGGCAGAATATTGTTTGTATCGTTGCATAATCCCCTGGAAAGGGTTTTGAAACGAGCCCTCTGTTTCTCTGGAATATCTGACTCGGGGTCTGAATTCTGTTAAGCGCGCGTTGGGTTTTTCCCTCGTTTGTCTTTATTTCGGGGCAGGAATCTTTTTGCCCAAAAAACAAAATTAAGTGTGAGGGTACCCTGGTAAAAGGTGAAATGGGTTGAGGTTTTGTTTTGGTTTTGTTTTTTTTTTTTCCCCTAGGCACAGCAGCAAAGAAACCTGGACAACATCGTGTCCCAGCATCCCAGGATAAGCGGGGGGAAGAAATCCAAGAAGGAATTCTGCGCCAACTCTGACCTGGAGGTGAAGAACACCAGCCCCATGTCCGAGCAAGATTCGGGAATCCTGGATGTTGAGGATGAGGATGAGGATGAAGAGGTAACTGTGCAACAGCAGCTCAGGGGGCCTGGGGGTGGTTGTGGTGTCTCAGGTGGTGCTTGAGGGTGGTTGTGGTGTCCCAGGGGATGTTTGGGGGTGGTTGTGGAGTCTCAGGTGGTGTCTGGGGGTGGTTGTGGTGTCT